TTAGAGAGAAGTGGAAAAAGCTGTTTATTTAACAGAAATTGAGTAATATTAAATAATAAAACTTCTTGCTGTTCGATGGGATGGCAAGTCTAGGAAGAAAAAGTCTTTTTCATGTGGTGTAGCTCGGCTCGCTCAGGTTCTTATCAGTTTCTCTGGCGCTGGAAAGTGCCGAGGCCCAGGCCCCGGTGGGCCACAGGCCTGAGCTCCCGGGGTTTGGCTGGGTGTTCAGTCCAGAGCAGGCTTGCACAGATCTAAGAAAATTGGGAAAAAAACAAACAAAGGTCTAGGGAACTCCTCTGCCTCAGCTAGCTAAAACTAACTAAAAGCCAGAGAGAAGCTCTATTCCGCTGTCTGTCCGTGCTGCAGACACCACAGTCCAGGAGCGGGATGTGTGGGAGTGATGTTTTTCTTTAACACAAACTGCGCGCTTCTTCTTCCCCCTCTCTTGCTCCCAAAGCCAGTCTTAAAGGTGCAGAACTTAATATATAACATAAACCAGACGATTGGGGATACCAGTATCATAAAGTCACCCCAGGACACCCCTTAAGCATTCTCTTCCCTACACTCAGCAATGGGCCCTCCCTACACTCCCTGAGCCTTCAGCCTCTTCCCTCCAGCCAAGTGCTCTCACCTCCTCCCCATGCTGGCCACCCTGCACCAAACTCACTCCACTTGGTCCTGGTGGTTCTTGCATTACAGCCTGTCCCCAGCACAGGGCACGGCACCAGGCGAGTGCTGAGCAGAGCGGCATCACCGCTGCCACCCATCTCCTGGTTCCACTCCTGCTCATACAGCCCAGGGTGCTGGTGACAGCCTTTGGTGTCTGTGAGCATCAGTGACATGGACAATGGTGTTGGGTGCACCCTCAGAGCACTTTGCAATGTGCTTTATTGACCACAGGGGTATTTTGTCAAGGTGATGATCTTGGGGGTCTTTTCCAACCTTAATCATTTGTGACTCTCAGCAATGGCAAGAGGCTGAGGGCAGCAAGAGCTGCACTAGATGGGAGGGTTTAAATCCAGGGGATCTTGACAGACTTGAGGAATGGTCCCACATGGAACTCAGGAACTTCAACAAAGCTGACTGCAAGGTCCTGGCACTGCTTTAGGGCAGTCTCAGAAGTCAATAGGGACTGTGGGGTGGGTGGAAGGAGAGCTGCCCTGCAGAGAAGGGCTGCAACAATGGTCACACGGATGTATCACCCCTGCTCTGAAGGGCAGCTGGACCAGTTGAGGTTTCTCAGTCAGGAGAAGAGCAGGATCTGGGGGACCCTTTCAGTACATCTAGGGGCGGTGTGAGGAAGATGGAGAGAGACATTATGTCATGTGACTGGACAAGGAGCAGGAGTTCTAAACTGGAACAGGCTGGCTGGAGCTGACATACTGTCCATGGCAGTAGGGTTGGACTGAATGATCCTTCAGAATCTCTTTCAACAAAACCCATTCCGTGATCCCATGATAACATGGGTCTGTGAGAAGGCAGCACAATGCACTGTGTCCCTCCCTTTCAGAAACCTTTCAGATCCATGGGATCTGCTGGAGGCTGATGGGAATCCAGTGCCTCTGTCTGGTCAGTAACACATTCACTGCTGAGTACTTGTGTCACAGTGTTGAGCTGAGCAAGGAAAAGGAAAACAAGAGCAAACAGAGTGGATGTTTGTCCCTGGACAAGGCAGGGAAATCCTAACCTGGCCCCAAGAGGCAGAGAAACTCACAACCCAGAGGGTCACTGAGTGCACACTGAGCCCACCCAATGCCAGCCTGTGTTGACAGCCAGTGCAAAACCAGCCCCAACATCCCCCTCCCACAAACACCCCTGGGACACCCTCTCTGCCTTGGGAGAGTGTCTGCAGGGCAAAGGATGACACAAAGGCGTGGGCTGGGATGCAGCAGAGCTTTAATGAGTCAAAAGAGGGAAAAGAGGGGGATCCAGGTGGAGGCCACAGTGCAGGGAGCAGCTTCAGCAGGGGAAGCACCTCGTGCCACAGAGGCCACTGCCCAAGCCCGAGAGGCCAAAGCCCCCAGAGCTGATGGGCACTCCCTGAGAGCTGAGGATGCTGCCAACAGCAGCTGAGGTGGAGGATCCCACGGCGGTGTTCTGTGGGAAGGAGCTGAGGATGGGGCCGGGCAGGGTCACCACCACGGGCGAGGGCTGGATGGCCACGGTGGAGTCCTGGCACTGCCTGACACAGGGCTCGTTGCAGCTGCTGCCCAGCGGGGTGGGGCCGCAGGGCTGGCAGGGCCGGCACGGGGTGTAGCAGGACATGTCTTGGGGCTGCAGATGCACCTGGACAGAGGGAAGAGGAAAGTGAATCACACAGAGTGGGTAAGGATCTGTCACCCCACAATGGGAGAGAAGGCTTGAGCTGGGAATGAGAGCTGAAGGCTGTTTCTGGAGGCTCATGGGCTCTTTCCCTCACATAAACCCCACCAAGTGCTCAAGCCCAGGGATGTCCTCAACCTGCCGAAAACTGGGGCAATACTTCTGCTGAGACCCTGCAGTCACACACTTCCCACTTCTTTCCTCCTCTCACAGAAAAGCATCTGCAAGATCTCACACAGGACCAAGTCACAGGTATGTGCTGAGAAATCCCAGTGGAGAAGGATAAAATGGAGAATGGGCTTTAAACTCACCTTGTTCCAAAGAGATGGAGGTGAGTGAATTGAATGTGCGAGTGAGGAGAAGGGACTGCTTTTATACAGCTCTTTTTTTGCCCCAGGCCCATAGTCCTGCAGAAGGGCAATAATTTTTCAACAGACTCATCTTCAAAGAAATATATCCCACAAAGTGGCAGCGATTCACATTTTGTTTACATCTGCACTGCCGTTTTATTTCCTCATTTCTGACATTCCTGCCCTGCATTGTAGGATCCTTTCATGTTCTGTGATGAGAAGCCAAAGGATATCCCAGGCAGAGCCATGTCAGTGAGAACACATGACCCAAGTGCTGGATGAAGGGAGGTAATGTTGGTTTAGTGAAAAACAGCTCTTTGCCATACACCTTGTGGGAAGAGGCCCTATCTCACCCTGCACATGTCAGAGGGCATCCAAATAGTTCACTTTTTACAGACATTTCACTTGCTTCTCTCTTTTCCGTCTCCTCTCTCCGTCTGCTCTCTGCAAGGGTCACAGGCTGTGGCATCTCCAGGCACCCTGGCTGTGCCAATGTTTCAGCTCTCTTTCTCTTGAAGCCCTTTGCTCTGGAATGGATATTTACCAGGTGTTAGGATAGCCAAAGCCCACCTGGAGTTGAATCAGGCAAAGCACAGGGAGGGGCAATAAGAAGGTCTCCTGCAGACAGATCATCAATAAAGGGAGCCTTGAACACAGGCAGCCACAGTGTTCAACATGGCAGCTTCCCTGAGGGCAGAGGGTACAGGAAAGTTGGACATCCTCAAATGTTCCTGTCCTTGGTTTTTACCATCAGGAATTGCTGTCAGGAACTGAAGTTCCTGGTACTCCTTGGAACAACTGGAACAGAAAAAACTTCCCCAAGCAGAACAAAATCTGATGGGGGAGCATTCAAAAACACTGGTCTCAAATGAGTGTATGTGAATTGATGTTATTTGTTCGCTGGTGTCAGTACAAAGCCTTTCTCAACTCCCTTTGAGAGATTCGCTTTGGTCACAGTGAGCACAGAATGCATCTGAGAAGTGGAAGAAAGCCAGTGAGTGTCGTGTCTTCAAGAGAGGCATGAAAGAGGAGTCAGGGAATGACAGGCCGGTCAGACTTGTCTTGATATGGAAAGGTGAGAGAGAAAATCCCTACAAAATCCAACATGCACTGCTCAGGGAGGAGCTGTGCTCAGAAAAGCCCTGGATGCAAAATCAGCTTTCAAACTACACCAAGGACTGATGCACTTCCCTGCCCTGCAGATATGGAGGCAGCTGGGACGTGTCTCAGGAGGGCAAGGGAATGTCTTCAGTAGGCAAATCTCCAAAGCGAGACTCTCCTGAGCCATGGTGAGTCACGTTCTAATATTGGTCTTAGACCAAGCCAGGAGTGTGTGATGTCTGCAGGCTTTGTCCCAGGCAGGGCTGAATTCCCTTCCAGCAAGGGCAGCTCCATCCATAACTCTGGAAAACCATCTTCAAGCACTGGGCTGTGCCCAGACCCAAAGCTCCAGGCAGCCCAAAGGCCATTGCCCTCATCCTGACCTGCTTGGCAGCACTGCCACAGCTCAGGGTTCTCAGAATTGACAATGTGTGGCAGGATTTCTGTATCCCCCCAGGTCAGGGTGCAAAGGGTGCAGTCAAAGTGCATCATGGGGTGAAGAGAGGGTGAAGAGTAGGTACTGTTCCAAGAGTCAACACTTCCCTCAGGCAGTAAGAAAGCAAAGAACTCCACATGGGTCAACTTGAGACTTGATTCCTGCCCATACTGATGTGTTCCTGCACAAGAAATCTTTGGACTTCTCATCCCCTTACATGATAGAAGCCTCTATGACTTAGTGGGAATGTCAGAAATGAGGAAATGAAATGGCAGCATAAATGGAAACCAAACCACAATCTGTGCCATTGGGTAGAATGTTTTGCTTTGAGGTGAGTCTGTAGGAAAATTACTGTCCTTGTGCAGTGACTGAAGGCTTGGGGCATTGCAGGAGAAGTATAAAAATGGGCACTTCTCACTCTCTCATTCACTCCTCTTACCTCCATCTCCTTGAGAACAAGGTGAGTCTGAAGCTTTTTCTCATCTTTCTCCTCTTCCCATGGGATTTCTCAGTCTACAGATGCTTTTTTTCCCATATGGATTCTTGTAATATAGGAATAGGAAGAGGGCTAAGGTGTAACACAGGGAAAGGCTGACGCTTGTCTGAGGTGTTTTCAGAGTTATGGACCAGATACGGATCTTCCTTGGGTAGCTCTTGGCAGAGCTCTTCTGAGGACAAGAGAAGCCTGTGGGTCTCTCTATACAACCCCCAAGGCTTATCTCTAGTTCAGAACTTTGGTCTCCCATTGTGGGGTGACAGGTTGATCACCACTCCTTCTGCTCTCATTCCTCAATCAATCTCTGTCCAGGTGCATCTGCAGCCCCAAGAC